CGACTTTCAGAGCTGCAGGCAGCGACGGCTTAAGCGGCGGCCCCCGACAGTCGGCAGCCATCGGTTGTAGTTCCGCTGACCCAAGAAGTGATTCGCGTCGGCAACAAACTAGCCCGTTAGATACACTAAAAATATAAATTTTCTTTTTTAGTTTGATTTGCAGTGTTACTGGGCATTATGGGTTCGGTATTCGGGAAAGCAAGCCACTGAACTGATCGCTAGATCGCTCTACTACAGCACCAGTTGGTGGTGGTTCAACGCTCATTTGTCCATAATATCAGAGGATTCTTGCTAATTTAGGTCAACAGTTGACTGAGAATGTAGTTTTAGGAAGTGTGCGCAGTTGGTGGCATCGCTGTAGCCCTTCTCGGTCTTTCAGGAGTCTCCACGGGTGTGCAAAATGAGTTTCAATGCGGTTGCTTCCAAAGTTCTCATTGCACAAGTTAAATTTGGCCTCTCCCTTGGCTCCTTTCTGCCTCGCCTACTTAAGTCATCTTGGAGGTATTTTATTGTGCAGCTGTCTCACTTTCGGCAAAGGGCTCGAAAAAACGCCCAAGCCTTCCATGTACCAAGCGCACCCCTTTAACGCAACACTTTCTAAATAAATTTTTGATTCTGTAGTCTAAGGTATAAAGTTTTGAACTCTCTGCTCGAATGGATATGGTACCAGGCTAGAACAGAAGCCTGCGGAGTCCTTTACTCTGTTTAACAAATGACCTTTGGGCATCCTTGACGGGTGTTGCAGAGCTACTGCTCTGCAGTAAACGATGGCATACGTACCTCTTTGTATGCTGGACAGAGCTCGTGACTGCCTGTAATACGGATCGATAACTGAATCTTCATGGTGTACCAGGGCCTATCTGAGTGCATCGGAAGGCCAAAAAGTACACGCAAAGACGAAGACATTGCATGAACAGCAGCTTGTCGTCGGCTCCGACGGCTTATGGCTCGAATAGAAGGTGCAAGACAAGCACTGACGCCCATGGGCCTTTGGCTGGGACATACTCAAATTCAGTGCTACGCCCCGAAGCGATGAACAACAGTTCAATACAGAGAATCAATTTATGAAAAGCACGGCCCCGGTATATCTTTGATTGCATTGTACTCGTAGATGCTTAGGTAGGGCGGAGGGCCAAAGTTGACGTCGAAGGGTTTGACGGGCTCAATGCACCATAAGCGACAATCGTTTGTGCACCAATAGCGTAGAATACTACTTGTACGCATGCTTGCTTGGGTCTCAAACCAGGTATGCTAGCCCTGAGTATTGTGTCTATGCTCTGATATACCAGAAAAAATCCTCATTCGTTTCACCTGGCAGCACTCCTGGCGCATGTGTCGAAATTACTCCAAAGAAACTGCGCGCGTGCTTCTCATCCCAGGTGCAACCCATTTTCCCACCCTTACGCTAGATTATTAGCTACTGTTTGTTTAATCCTTCTCTTACAGCTTCTTCCTGTAGCTAGATACACGCACAGCTCCCCTTGCTACTCTCTCAGGTGTCCTTTTTGCCAATTCTGGCTATAAAATGGCCAGGTAAGAAAATTCATGGGGGTGTGGTTTCCTTCACATCAGGAATCCTCAAGCTAAGCTCTGCGCGGAGGCTATTCCCATTCTTCTGAAGTCCACAGACTTGCTCACTTGACCCTCAGAATGTTTTTGCTCTTCCGGCTAAGCAACTTCTAGCTGTAGTATCATCAGCATCAATAAAATGCATTGCCGTAACATACGTACATCAGGCTTGAGAAACTGCATCGTCTCTTTCTGGAGGCGCAGGAACATTTTTAATTAAGAATAAATCGTCAAACGAACAAAAGTGGGCGTAAAAACGTAGCATTTTGAACTTTAGCTCAACATCACATCAAACAAAAAACGCGGAGGCAGTACGACCAATTGGAGCGCATTGTTGGAAACGAATAGGCTAGCCTACAGCTTAGCATAGAGTGAGAGAGACGTGTAGGAGAGTTACTTCCGTCGGGCCGGACCACCAGCTACACTGAGCAGTGAACCACATAAGCACAAGGATATAAGCAACCAGCCGCTAACACGAATGAGCTGCACCGGAAGTTTCGACGCGGCATGCCGGAGAGAGAGCATATCATGCTTCATGCGAACACAATTGGAGCTGGAATCCCCACCAATCTACAAGGGCATTAGTGTTTCCAGCTAGCCCAGTTACAGGCTTACACGGAACGATTGAGGCAACTCGACATTTAGTAAAGCCGTGTGAGGAGCTTATGTCAGAGTAGATACCCCATCAAATCATCTCCTGACAAAAAGATTACGGATGCTGCCTTGCGTTAACTCCATTTTCGTTTGCCAGTGGTAGCAAGGTAAGTTTCTGCGCTCAGCGAGACGACTGCCACAGAGGAAGCTGTGAACAGCGAAGGAGGAACAACATTCGTCAAAAGGAAAAGCACGGTGACTTCAGGAAGACGCGGCACACAAGTCGCCGCTGAAAAATTCGCTGACAGTCCTTGCAAAGCTTTAAAAAAACTTAAGTGTAACCCCTAGAGATATTTTTTCTTTTGTTCTCTGCAAATAGCTGCCTTAGACACGTGATTCAGAGGCGCAGATTATCTCCGTAGTTCTTCCAAATTAAACATCAATGTTTTGCCGACATATGAAGGTTCACAGTGCGATTGTGAGAGAAGCTTGGTGGTGCATAGCTGAGTGTGCGTCGTCATCCGTTCCTGGTTTACATGCCTGAGTTCTTTTCCCGAATTTAAACGTTTCGCTTCCCCTAAAGTACATGAAGCGTAGTATAGGCTTCTTCGTTCACTTTGCTACCTGTTTCTGTCTAATATGCGTTATTCCGTTGATATAATGAGGGAAATAGTGCCGATTTCTGCTTCTTTTAAATCTTCATCAACAAGAAAGCTAGAGACAGCTTATTGTGTCATTGAGTCTGGCCAAGCAGGTGACTTGAAGTAACGCTTGCCGTGGGCCCGAGAAAGTTGCAAGGTTATTAGAGCTCAGATGAGGTGGGTTTCTCTCTTAGCACAGGCGTCAAAGCAGAGCAGAGCAACTTTGAAGGCATAGAACCGGTTTATTCAAAGCTAAAAGCCTTAGTTCGGCGCTGACGTCAATGCTCACATGGAGCAGGGATGATTTACAGCTGCACTCGAAGTGAAAATGTGACAGACCACACAAGCAAAAGCACGGCTATACTTTTTCTGCTGAATTCCGACAGAGCAGGCATCTTCACCAGTGCACCAGTGCTGCAGCCTGTATATTGATTACTTACGAAATGCGCTGAAGAAAAGCAGGGCCATCCTCCCGCCTAAGTAGGCGACTTAGCTCCACACTGCCCCTTAACGTGATCCAACATCCGGCGGTACTCCCTATTCGCACAGAAGTGGTTCAGGAGCTACTTTATTGTCTGCTCGTGAAATGTCTCGTGCGCTCGCCCTCTTTTAAATGTTCGCTGGCAACTGTAAGCTTATAGTGCCCCCACACGGAGGCTTCCGGGGGTAGAGAAACTCGATATTTGGGACTCAGTAGGTAGCTCCCCTGTGGAATGCCTTACTGTCTTGAGTAATGGCTGTCGTGCTGCAGGACCTCTGACGAACAACTCCACAGCACCAATGCGACAGAAAATCCCTCTGGATCCCCCTCCAGAAGAGTCCTTTCTCAACTATCAAAATATCGACTCTAATCACCTACGTAAGGACGAAGTCTGGTGACAACCTCGACCCCTCCGAAGGACAGCTAGCTACTTATTGCACCACTCTCCCAAGCAGCAAATTGTGCTCAAGACCGAATCTGCAAAGCCGTACCCGCTATGAACTTGCATGGGTCCACTGGCCTCTGCTTGATGCATTCAGACAGAGCTTTGCGCAATGCATCGTACAGCTCTTTGCTGAAGGTTTCAGTGTGCCCTTCCATTATTGGCGAAAATGTTGAACAGTTTCGTCGATTCCTAGCTTGCTGCAGCATAGACATAGGTGTGACATTTCCGACGGAACGGCTCTGAAAGGCGCGCATTCGTGCTGCCTGCGACGTTTGTGGAATTTCCAGCTGCCAGATAGGTGCAGCCGCGCAGTGTCTTCCCAGTGTAGCATCCCCTTCGGTCTACCCAATGTTGCTTGAAGTGCGCATTCAAGTGCTCTCAGTTAGCAGCTACCGGCTAAGCCTTCGCCTCCTATAAACGGCGTGTTTCATTTTTTTTACTTTGCTGCTTGACTCCTGTGTGCCATGCAGCAGACACGGCACCCCTTCCTTCCGACTGCCAGAAGGGCGACTACTGGGTTCAGCAATGGCAAAAATATGCACTGAAAATAAACGAGAAAATATGATTGGTTATAAACTTTCAGAGGAGCGGGTGATTAAACTGCTAAGAAAACATGCTAGCACAGTATGGAATTGCACAGGTGCTCACGGGGGCCCTGGACGTTAGCAGCTCTATTGCCATGTGCTGTTCTGCGATTCTGCGCCATGGCGAATTGCCAGTAGATCATAATAACATGTGAAAACTTTGTGCTTCACATGCGCAAACGGTTACTTGTAGTCCGTAAACCAAAAGGTTCGACTCAAGCCCAGTAGGCGCGGCTCTTAATGTAGCGCAGCTGTAACTGCTGCAGCATCGATGCTCAAAATGAGTTCCTTTGCCATCAGTTCCCCTTCATAAATTGTGCAGTATTTTGTTTTTCACGCTGAAGGTGCTCTTTGTGTTATATCAACTCAACAACTATTGCAGTGATTTCTCCGACGCTGTCATTGCTATTGCACTGGCAATACGAAGCAGCGCCTGTTTAGGCCTATACCCCTGAGGGTCTGCGTAGCACATTGCTTGTCCCGTTGTGGTCTGCTTTAGAAAAGTTAGTGAATCCTGTGTGACTACATGCATTTTGTGCGCTAGCCACGTCCGTTTTCGGACCTTTACCGCTTGAGATGGAGGGATCATGCCCTGCACGGCTCTCCGCGATTTTACAATGGCTTACTAGGGGAAGCTTTACATCATAGGGGTATGACGTATTCTCTGTATCTCCGCATGCGTTCCTATGGAGGCGCAAAGTGGAGATGGGGCCCCCGGGGGGCAGCCTGACGCTGCCCTTGGGGCTGTGGATGCTACTTCCATCTTGCCCTATTTCCTCAAGGAGATGCAGCGACAAGATCGCAGTACATCGGTCCCCCGTGAGCAAACAGTGGGGCGGGGACGACGGACTGTGCGCATTCCATCCTTGAACGGGGGCCAGCCGGGTCCTCAGAGTAGGCCGCATGTTGAGGGGCGGAGGGCCCCATCAACTGCACTTCCGTTGCAAAATGCACAGACTTGGCGAAAAGTTGACGAAAATTCAGTTAAAGGAGAGTGGCTGGCCGCCTCTCTTGACTCCATCGTCAAGTCATCAGACGCTGTGCCACTGTTGAACCACCTGCGGCTGCTGACTTCTCGTTTGTTCAGCGAAAATCAATGGCTAAAAGCACAAGTCCAGCAGAAGGCTAATGGGACGCGCCAGAACGTGCAGCAGGGGAGGCAACAGCCCAGGCAAAAAGCGCACGAGCAGGAGGCAGCAAGTCTGATGCGAAGAATTATGGAGGAAAATTCCTACTTACAGAGTTTCATAACTTCGAATGCGCGAATTTTGCAGAGTTCAGAGCTGGCAAAGGCCCAGAAAGAGCGCGCCGAGGCTCTAGAGAGCAACAGGAGATTGGAGAAGCAGGCAGAAAGAGACCGACAGGTCATTGTAGAGTTGGAGTTGAAGAGCCGCACCTTCGCTGACGCGTGTGCATGGCTTACCAGCCACGCCAGAATGATCCACGCCAAAGATGCACCCGCCCTCGTGGCTCTCTGGCGCGCGAGAGTGGCAACAGCAAGCGCTATGGAGAAGGGGAGCGTGGTGCCAGAATTCACGAAGGACTTGGCAAGGGCCTATGCAGTTGCGGACTCAGAGGGAGATGCGGAAACATGTTCTGAAGACGGAAGCGACAAGAAGATGAGGGAGGCGCGGTTAATGGCTGCAGAGCTGAGGGAAGCTGAAGCAGTGAGTGAAGCGCGGCATGCCCAGACGCAGGCCTTGCTGGCGGAGAAACGCGCGACCGTAGCGGAGCAGCGCCTTTCTGCTGCTCAAACTGAGCTAAAGGAGCTCAAGAGGGTTATCAGAGAGGCCCCTTCAACCTGCAACAGCGCGTCACACAGTGCGACAGACGGGGAGCAGAAACTCAGCGCGGCTCTCATTGAGAGTCAGAAAAGGGCAGAACTTGCCGAAGAAGAGTGCAGTAAACTTAGAGGTCACTTGGAAGAGCTCCAGAGTGCTCTTGATGCTGCCGCATCAGAGAAAAACAGTCTTGAGAAAGAGACGGCAAACGCCCTGCTTGCTGCTGAGACCAAGCTGAGTACCTTGTCGGCACACCACGCAGAGGCCATTGAACAGTTGCAAGCTAAGCACGCCCAAGAGATTGAGGCGATGAAATGCTCCGCTCGGGAGGCGACACAATTGAGGAAGGAAGTTGAAGACATGCACCAGCAGTGTGCAGAATTGAGCTCCAAGCTGGCTGCAACGAACGCGAAGGCTGGCGAGGGACTTGCAAAGGCATTGTCACCACAGAGTATCGGCTCCCCTACGGCTTCTGATATACCTACGCTTACCTCAGAGCGAGACAGCTACAAGGCCATGGCATTAAGGCTGGAGATGGACATCAAGCGCCTTCACGCTAAAGCAGCAGAGGTAGCGCAGCTGGAGAAGACGGTTGCCGCTTTAAACGCAAAACTGTTGGCGGGCGAGGAACTCAAGAAGGCGTACGAGAATCTTCAAAGCGAAACCCAGCGCCTCAGAAGTAAAGTAGGGTCGTGCAAAGTTGCTGCCAATGGAATAACTGGGCCCAAAACCGAGAGAACTATAAGTGACAATGCGGCACTGACCAAAGAGCGAGATTGCCTGAATGCAAGAATCATATATTTGGAAGAACAGGTGGGGAACTTGCAAAAAGAAAACGAGTCTCTAAGAAATCAGGTTGCTGGCTTCAAGATGGCATCGTGCAAGGCCCTTGAAACAAATGGCAGCGTTGGGCCAGTGCCAACCTCTGACAAATTTTCTGAAATGTCTGAAGAGCGGGACATTTTGAAAACAAGGGTTAGGTTACTCGAGGAACAACTCGCAGCCGTGAACAGCAGCGTGAAAAGCCCCACTCAGGAATCATCGGAATCTAAATGCACCTCACCTTCCAAGTCATCCTCAGAGACCGTGAAGTCTTCACAGTCCAACAAGCCACAACCGCCGGTGCCGAAGCGTAGCTTGGGTCTATTTTCCGCTGACGCAACACTTAATTCAGACACTTACATTCCTTCAGAAGAGGTGGGTGCAAACCGGCCATCCAGAGTCTCGGAACTTCGTCCCGCCAAAGCGCGAATCGGGGTCTTCCCCGCGGGGATGTCTGAAGGCCTGCCGGCGGCCACTCAATCCAGTGCAGATACTGTCCCTCCTGAGACGAAGTGTTCGGCCGAAACTGCACTCCCAAAGAAAGTAGTGATTCCCATGAGTGGGAAGACGCTGCCTAGCGGAGAGCCGAAGACACCAACTAAGGGGCTCCCCGCGGAAACTGCACGCAGACGTGGTTCTACTGTACTTGTGTCTCAGTCTGGTGATGAAGCTTCGTTGTTAAAATATTCAGGGCCCCCAGCTTCAAGGAAGCAGCCGAGTGCATTACCACCGATACCAGTAAAGGCATCCGTTGCAAAGCCCTCACAGGACACATCGGCACGGCGTCAAAGCCAGCATAGCGCAGACAGTGAAGTCGAGGGCGCCTCGCCAAAGACCATAGGGCTCTCAGAGGGCAAGGAGTTGCCGAAGACGTTGCCAATGGAGGTAATGAAGGCCACGCTGTCGGCGCCTTCACTGCAGGGTTCCACTACTGTTGAAGAACAAGCGGTGGTGGAGGCTGAGGCTGTGCCTTCTATGCAGCTAGGACCAGCTGTGGGTAAGAAGTCGCCTGGAACACTGCAGTCATCGATACCCAGCGCCCTGTCTGCAAATTCAGTTGTTTCAGGTAAAGCCAATGGAATTGCAGAAGGACCAGCAACTTGCGCGACTACGGCCAGTTCCGCTCTCGCTAAGGGGCCTGTTGCCTCCGTAAAGGAAGCAAAGATTTCCTCGGTTGGAGTAACCAAGAGGCCTACCGAAGCAACAAAGGTCCCAGCTCCTCCGAAAAAGGCTCCTCCAGTGGAGTCTGCAATGCTGCCTGAGGAGATATTTTCCAAAGAGGCGAAAGAGAGGCTAGAGAGAGAAATGGCTGACCTGCGCAAGCAGGTCGCGGCAGGAGAGGAACTGAAGGCGGCTAATGAAACATTGCAGAGGGAGAACGAGGAGCTACAGGCTAGGCTTAAGGCAGCTGCAGGCACTTCAAAGCGTCCAGGACCCTCCAGTGAAGGGAACGACTGTGTTGAGTTACCTGACTCCGCCCCTTCAGCCTCCTCTGGAAACTACGCAGATGTAGTTAAGCAACGCGATAGCTTGTCAGAGAAAGTAAAGACACTGGAGCAGGAGCTCTTGAACATTGTAGATGCTCATAAGGCGCCATCATCTAGTTCTGAAAGTCGGGAGGAGGCTGGTCCCGCAACCAAAATGCCCCTCTCGCGTAAAGATGCTTCTCATTCCTCGATTACCCTAAGAAAGGCACCTGCACAAGAAGTCTCAACAGCCGGTGAAGAATCTGCAGCTGCAACTGCGCAGGCGCAGGCTAACCTTGACAGTCTGGAGCAGGAAGTTACCATGCTGAGGCAACAGCTTCTCGCCCTTCAGAAACTCAAGGATGAAAACGCAGCGCTCACAGAGGAGGCCGAGAAACTTCGAAAGGAGAATGCAATGCTGAAAAAGCAGATAGAGGAGTTGAAGGCACTTCCAGAAATCGGAGCTCGGGCGAGCAGCAGCCGCGGTGCACCAATGACGGCTGATGGAACTGTTGAGGTAACTAAGGATCGAGAAAGTTTGAACAGGCAGGTGATAGCCGTTGAGGAAGAACTTGCGGCCCCACGCACCGTGGCACAGAACTATGTAGATGAACGGCAGGAGCCAAAGGCTACCGCAGATATGAAGTCTTCCGCAGGGCGTTTGCCTGTGCCACATACCAAGAGACCGCCGTCGCCTATGTCGAAGCCCCTGAAGGCGCTGTCTGTTACAACTAATGACCAAGGCACTTCCATTCAGGATGAGGCGACAGAGCAGGTTGTGCCAAAAGCCTTAGAACGACTCACTGCAGAGGTGAAGCCTCAGGCGTTGCCTCCGAAGGTAGCCAAGACAGGACCTGAGGCATCCCAAACAAAGAATGCACTTCCAGGTGCTGAGGCTGGCACTTTATTGTCGAAGCGTGTGAGCCATGCAGTAACGAAAAAGCTTGCTGGCGGATTGCAGAGCAAGAACGCAGCAATTTCTTCTCCGACACCTTCACCAGAGAACACAGCATCTGCGCCCGAACCTGCTGCAGAGGCTGAGGATGCGAAGCCCGGTGGCTTGGAGGCGTCTTCTGGGGCAGTCCTGCCCGAGGGAATCCCTGCGGATGCGAAGGCCGGTGGCTTAGAGGCGTCTTCTGGGGCATTCCTGCCCGAGGAAATCCCTGCTAAAGGCCCACCGGTGGCATCGTCTCCAGAGCGATTTCATGCATCGTCTAAAGGAAAGGCTGAATCTGCGTTGCCCAAGAAGCTAGGGCATTCGGTGGGAAAGGCATCACCTGCAATTCCCCAGTCTTCCGTAGACATACCGCTTTCTCAAGGTTTTACTGTTTCAGGGGGAGCAGAAGAACATGCAGAAGGAGCGACAGCGTCCACTGGAGGGGCCCGTGCCGTTAAAGATGAAGGCGCTGTTGCTACCACGGAGGTAAAGGCTGTGTCGGTGGGAGGTCCCAAGAAGTTACCCGAGAACACCAAGGTCCCAGCACCACCGAAGAAGGCGCCTTCCGTGGAGCCCTTATTGGTCCCTGAGGGAACTCAGTCAGAATCAGCGCAGCTGAGGGTAGCACAACTCGAGGCGGAGGTGAGAACATTCAAATCAAAGGCTGAAGCCGCAAAAAAGCTCGAGGTCGAGATTGAACGGATGCGGAGGGAGGTTCTTGCTGGCGAAGAAGCGCGGAAGGCGAATGAGATTCTTCAGAAGGAGATGGAGAAACTGCAAAGGCAGCTGACCGAACTGCAGACCAGGGCGCAAAAATGTGCAGAGCCTGGAAGCGGAAATGCACTAGAAGAACGTGATAGGGAAACTCTGCGAGCCTCTGGAGACTTGCAGACAGTGTTGAAGGAGCGCGACGAGCTTCGGGACAGGGTGCGAGTATTAGAAGAGAAATTAGTTTCTACTGGCGCCAAAACGCAGTCTCAGATGGAGCCTTTGCTTAGTACTGAGCCTCCACCAGCAGACGTCCCACGGGAAAGCCTGAACAGCAAAGAGCCTACACAGCTGCTGCGGTATCCATCAAAGGAACAGAAAGCTGAAGTAGCCAAGCTGAAGGCTGGTGGTTCTGTTTCCGCCGACATAGCTACTGAGTTAAGGAAGCGGGAAGAGGACCTCAAGGCGAAAACTGCACAGTTAGAGGAAATTAGAAAAGAGTCTCTTGAGAAGGACAAAATAATAAAAGAAAAGACACAAGAAGTGGAGACGCTAAGGGCTAAGCTGGAAACGCTACAAAAGGAGAAAATGGACGCAATTAAGGACAGCGTCGCCCTGAAGAAAGAGCTTGAGAAGCTGCAGAAGGAGTTAGAGGCTCTTAAGAAGGGAGGCTCGGCTTCTCAAGTCTCTCCTCGGCAAAAGATGGTGACAGCAGCTGAGGAGTCGGCTGCTGTCGCTGGTAAAGCTCCAAAAAGAACTATGAGCTTGACAAAACGAAAGCCAGGGCTCCCGCCTCCTGCGCCGAAGGCTGACCGACCAGATCCACCAGCAGCGGCTGCTAGCGGGACCAGCGAGGAGAAGAAGGAAGTTCCTAACCTTGAGCCGAATGATACAGAGGAGGGGAACTCTGCAACGTCGCACAAGGAAGAACCAGGAAGGCGGCCAAGAGACAAAGTCGCAGCTCGGCAGAAGGGCGACCACACACCTGGAAAAATGAATGGAAGGGAAGTACTGTCGCCTAGGCATAGAGATCCAGACGCTGTAGAAGAAGAAGGCAAAGAAACAGTTGCTGCCGAGAAAGTCTCACCACCGAAAAGAATAGGCTCTTGTGCAGGTAAGGAGGCCACTCTGGAAGATGGCAAACCAGCGATGACACGGCCGTCGTCCCAATCTCAAATAGACTCTTCAGCGAGAAATATCACGGCTCCTAAGAAAGGGGCTTTATCTGTGCTCAAGTCCATGGAAAATACAAAAGTTCCTTCTATGGGAGCATATCCGATGAGAGAGCTCGAAGGCAGTGGGGCAGAGCTGACAACGGAGTTAAAAGAGAAGCTTGAGAAGGAAGTAGCGTCTTTACGAGAACAGTTAGCTGCTGCCGACGAGTTAAGGAATCTTCAAAATACCCTTCAAAAGGAAGTTGAGACACTACGAGGTCAGCTCAGGGCTCAAAGGGCTCAGGAGAAAGCCACTGGGACCGAGAAAGAGGCTGACAGACACATCACGAAGGGTGACTCCGGCAAAGAAGGAGGCCTCGATGTGGAGGAAGCGGAGACACTACGCAGAGAAAGAAATGCTTTGAAGGAAAGAATTGCTGCACTGGAGTCGGAGCTTCGCACCTTGAGGTCATCAGCTGCCAAGGGGGCTCCCAGCACGAAGCCTAAGGGGGCGCCACCGCTCAAGTCGAAGCCCGCGAAGTTTGCGATTCCAACTAAAGCGCATACAGGCTCAAATACAGAAGCGAAGGGTGGAGATGAAAGCTCAGAAGCACTTGAAGGTGGAGGAGAAGTGAGGCCCCCGACGAGCCTTGTGGATACTGAGGCGGCCAAGAAGCGGCCTCAAGACACCAAGCAACACGATTCAGGCGCCTTAGGAACAATGCATCTCGATGGAATTCCTGATAAGGCGAGTCTTCTGACTGAGGAAGTTCTGTCCAAGTCGGACGCAGAAACAGAAGACGGGGACTCCGGGGCTGAAATGTCTTCTGCCGAAGAGCTTGTGGCGGACCTAACAGAACGGTTACATAGGGCGAAGCGGCGGATCCGGAATCTCGTGATAAAATGCAATGCCCTTGTTGAGATGGAGAAGGAGCGGGATTCCCTGCGCCGGAGACTTGAGTCGTTCCAAGCCAAGCGTGAGACTCGCAACATGGATCCTTCGGAAGAAGGCAAGGATAAGGGAGGGATGGCTGTTGCTAAGGCTATGGAAGGGAAAAGCTTTGTGCTGAAATCTGCTTCTGCCGCGGCTCTTCCTGCTTCGGGTATTGCACTAGAAGAAACTGATGACATCAACCACGGCTCAACAGTGGAGACAGGTCTCACTACTCATAGCACTTCGGCTCTGCTGGATGCTCACCCTGAAAGTGACTGGGCTAAGAAGTATGAAGGACTTAAAACGCAGAGGGATAAACTGTACAAGGCATACAAAGCGCAGAAGGTGCAGATCGCGAACCTAGAGGAAGAGGAGGAAACCACCAAGGAAAGGCTAGAAAAACTTGAGCAACTTTATCAGGAGACTAAGGAGGAGCTCGAGATTGCCACAAGACCACCTACTCAGCACAACGAAGCCGAACCCGCTGGTCTGTTGTCGTGGTTCGGTGGTGGAGGACAAGATAGCAAGAGTCCTGAGGAACAGAAGCTTCAGGCGAGATTAGGTCTTCTACAGAGGAGGCTGCAGAAGGCGACGGCGGAAAACGAAGCGCTTAGGAGTGAGCTGTCTCGGCTTCGCGCGCCTTTTACAGAGTCTCTTCGTGGTGCCAAGACGAGGGAAGGTGAAGTGGCGGTTGACAAGCCACAGGAAAGCGCGTCCCAGCGTCCAGATCATGACGCAGCTGGAGGAGGAACTTCGAATAGGCATTTGGAGGAGGGTCCTGCAGCGGGGTCCTCTGGCCTTTCAGTGGATATAAAGGATGCCAGGATGCGTCTTGCTGAGTTCCAGAGGCAAATTGAGCAGAAGTGCCTTCTGATAGAGGAACAGAAAGCTGAAATCGCCAAGCTGAAGGCTGGTGGTCCTGTTTCCGCCGACATAGCTGCTGAGTTAAGGAAGCGGGAAGAGGACCTCAAGGCGAAAACTGCACAGTTAGAGGAGGTTAGAAAAGAGTCTCTTGAGAAGGACAAAATAATAAAGGAAAAGACGCAAGAAGTGGAGACGCTAAGGGCTAAGCTGGAAACGCTACAAAAGGAGAAAATGGACGCAATTAAGGACAGCGTCGCCCTGAAGAAAGAGCTTGAGAAGCTGCAGAAGGAGTTAGAGGCTCTTAAGAAGGGAGGCTCGGCTTCTCAAGTCTCTCCTCGGCAAAAGATGGTGACAGCAGCTGAGGAGTCGGCTGCTGTCGCTGGTAAAGCTCCAAAAAGAACTATGAGCTTGACAAAACGAAAGCCAGGGCTCCCGCCTCCTGCTCCGAAGGCTGACCGACCAGATCCACCAGCAGCGGCTGCTAGCGGGACCAGCGAGGAGAAGAAGGAAGTTCCTAACCTTGAGCCGAATGATACAGAGGAGGGGAAATCTGCAACGTCGCACAAGGAAGAACCAGGAAAGCGGCCGGAGGGTGAATTTGACAAACTGAATGAAACTCCAGAGGGGGACAAACGACAGAAGGAGAAGAAATCGAAGATCTCTGGAGCTGCCACCAACAGTCAGAGCGAATCAAAGCGTGGGAAGTCTCCTAGGGAGGAGGCGAAAAGCACTAAGAAAAAAAAGAAGACGAGAAAGAAGGACGCTTCGTCAGACGAGAGGTCCATCCCGCATTCCGAGGCAGAGAGTGCTGCCAACGAAGCAGATGCAAACGGAACAGCTACAGCACCGACTACGAGCGGTGGGTGGGGATTCAGTTTGTTTGGAAATAGTGAAAGAACTTCTCCTGATGCTTCCAAGGACACCTCACAGCCGACGACGTCCAGCGCGCCTCGTCCATCTTTACTCGAGCTAATTGTAGGCACTGAGACTCCGGTAGAAGCCTCGAAAGACAGCGATGTTCCGCCGTTGAAACTTTCGACTGTGGACGGAGCGGACGACCAGAGTAATGACTCATCAAGTGACGATGAAGAGACTGACGGCGGCATCGCCAGCACTGTAGCCGGCTTCTTTTGGGGATTTTGAATGCAAACAGGCCGGAGAGAACTGAAGCGTTTGTGCTGGAGACAGAAACCCGCAAGTTCATTTCTTCCTAAATCTGAGCAACTCGTGCAGCAGCTTCGCGCCTTCGTCGGATATACGCAATACGCCGCGTTCGATTACGAAGTGCACCACTGCCAGGCTCAGTGCTCACGACGAATGTTTTTCTGTAGATAGCCTTTTCGGTCACGAAAAGACGTTTGTCTGAACGTGCTCATATGGTGGGAGATCGCTATGATGCGAGATGGTAATTAACACTGCGGTTACTTTTAGACTTTCTGTAGTGTTCCTCCGCTACATTTTTACGTTGGCGTGTGAATACGTACGAACAGGGGTTTGCTCCAGTCACCACAGGAGTCGCCTCCTTCCCGTCGTTAGCTCGACTAGACTAGTGACTACGGTAACTCCATGCTGCTAAGTGCCAAGCAATGTTCGCGGGTTTTAAGTGTAGTCAAATATGTTAGTCAGGGCACAGAAGTACCACAAGCTTCCGCTCCCAATTGCTACCAAGTATATCGCGTGACGGTTGACCTCCGCCTAGGAGTCAATATGAAACGCGAAACCAGCTCATTGTCTGTCTGTGGATACTGCGAGCGCCTTACGAACAGGAACACTACTGCCGTGGCACGCCCACCTCTGTGTAGTATGACTACGTTGGCAGCGGTTACAGCATGCACCCTGAGTTTTGCGTTTCTCATTCAGGGCGCTAGCCAAGTAGTGGGACGTTGGAACGATACGATTGCATGCGAAATCTGAGTAGAATTGGTGCAAGTGTACTGGTCTCGTCCAGCATGAATTTTCACACTGCAGATGCGCTCCGTTGGTTGCGACACCTATTTGTTCGCTCCGCTGGCCGGCACCATCCCTTTGATGGTGGCCAGGCCGATAGGCCTACATCGACGGGATTCTGAGTGCAGCAAAAAACTCCTCCACCTTCTGTCTTTGACTGAAGCGATGAAGACTTGTAGGCGGCACAGTGGCAATAGAGCGCGCGGAAGAGACGTGGAGATGATACGTGGAAGTCGATATACGTGCACGTAGGAGACTGGCCGGATGCTGGCCAACGCCCTGCGGAGGTTCTTCCAACTTCTGCAGTGAGCGTCAGGGGAACATTAACAAAAAAGCTTCCCTCCGCCCCCTCAGTCAGCCCACTGGTGCATCATTTCCGGGGAAAAGGCGAACGAGTACCATTTTATTAAAACGGCGAGCCTCTCTCGCAGACTTCTCCGAGCTTCCTTGAATAACAGGTCGAGCGCGAAGCCACCGGACACGCCGAAGGGCTTAAACACTGTAGAGTGTTGCTGCAATCTCCCAGAAACAAGCAGTGTGGAGAGGGAACAGAACTACGACAGTTGCACGCCAGGCCTTACTGAAACAAAGGAGCCGTAGTGCACGAGGGCTGTAGCGAGCCCTCACAAGGGAAACCAGGCGACGAGAGGGGCAATTCCGAAAGGTGGTAATCTTCATTGAAAAATGGACCTCCCGCCTGAGAAAGAAAAACAACACTATTCTCCCTAAAGTATACATAAAGTCGAATCAGCCTTGCGGGAGGGACCCCCGTTCTACACATGGGCCTCAGGCGACTCGGAAGTATCGGCCCATCACTAATGCAGCGTTAGGGTTTCCTCCCCTTGTTCTCTTATCCCTGGCACGTTCGATAGCCAACCTCCTAGCCCTATGCCCTGCAAGAAAGACGTGCTGCACCTGACCTACCCCAAGAAGAGCGTTACTATTGCTGGGTACCTCCACCGCGTGGGGCGGTGGGCAGGCCACGGCCGATGGCATTGCAAGGAGGCCGCAGCCCGTTGCTGACGGTGTTGTATCCCCGGGAGCCGGCGCGCCCCAAATACAGCTAGACTCGCTGACCTTCCCGGGTCCATACAAATCCACGGAGAGAGAAGCTGCGAAGTCAGCCATACAGAAGCAGACGCACGGGAAAATGGCCCAGCAAATGAAAAAATCAATCCCGTCTCTTTACCAGGAAGCCTTCTACGTGGCAAAAGTCGGCACCTACAGTGCAATTTAGCCCCTTGCGTTGAAATGCCCTCCTCAGTCAAGTAAGGTGAAGCCCCCAGAGTTAGCGTTTGGCCACTGGGAGCTATGGAAGTGGATAAGTCCCCTGCATTCCCTCCGGTTAGAATGCTTCCGTTGATCGGCAGGTGCAGAAGGTGCTGCATTGGCAGATCTCCCAAAAGCCCAGCAGTATGGAACTGCAGCGGGTCTTGTAGGTGCGACGTGAGGGGCCGTTGTTTGCCTTCGGCCCCTGAATGCAGCGTGTTCACCGCCTGAGGCCTCACTGGATCTGGGGAAAGGGTCTGGGAGGGCGGCGGATCGATGTACCATGGTTGTACGGAGCCGATCGTGTTCTCTTGAGTTGTGCTAAATCTCAGATAGCCCTCAGCGGGGAACAGCTGTCCTTCCTTTGCCCCGCCTTGGCTGCTACGGTGAGCGGGACCTCCTTGACGTCCAGAAGGAAGACGGCGGACTCCCCGTGCCTCGTTCCAGTGCGAGTTTGTTTGCTGCTGACCTCCGCGAATCCCTGTGAGACATGCGCCTACTGGCGGGGAGTTGGCTAAGACGTGCTGTTGGCGGCTGAGAGGCTGCGGTGGAGCGAACGCTCCACTGGGGGCAGCGGACGAGATGACGGGATTCCTGCGACCGGAGGCTCCTTCACCTGAGAGTAGTGACTGAGCTGTGGCGCGATTCATGAGGCCGACGCTCACCGCCGTGTCTAGAACCAAAGTACACTCCTGTAGAGGCAACGCAAGCACTTTCGAACGTGTAACGTTTGCGGAAGGTCTACCAACGGAGTCTACGGAAGTTCCGTCAACGCAGGTAATCAGAATGAAGAAGGAAAATGAACACCGCACCCCAAACAGGTTTTCAGTTATCTCACGTGGTGCATATGTTGCTCTCTCAGATGGTACACCAGAAGACGAACGGTCTTCTCGTCGATCGCCGGGAGGTCTTGTTTACGATTCGTCCCGACGTTAGCATGACGGCCACGGGGCGGATGGCGGCCTGGACCTCGGGAGTTCGCATCACGCAGAGTCTCGAGGGCCTGAATAGGCTCCCACATGCAGCACACGGAGGGCGTGTACTATTAAGGCATCCTCAAGCTGCCTGAGCACGGAGAGAAGTCCAGGAGTGCAAACGGGACGGCGACCACATAGAAGGAAGGGAAACATGTAACCACGTAAAAACATGACTTACATTTAATACAACCTCGACTGCCTGGGCATGCATTCTCCCCTTGAGGCAACCGAAAACAATGGTGCTCACAGTCTTACTGTCAGCTGCTACCCCTTCTCGGCGCATAATCTGCAAGACGTTGTAAGCCGCCCTGTACTGGAAGGCACCGCAGGCAGCAACAGAAGTAGATTCAGTGTTAACATGCACTTTACAACGCGGGCGAAGTGCAACCACACAACAACATATGCCATACTATAGGATGGCATCCCGCTCATCACGCATGTAGGCAGCCCTGAGAACTGCCTAGCGGCAAACACGTGGGCAAATGTACTTTGACAGCTGAGAAGCACGTCAGAATACCTTTAGCAGGCGTGTCCAAGATCCTGAGAAGTGCTGGAAACGAACCTGTCTGTTCTCTATGCATGCGGCCATTAGACAAGTATACACATGGGCGTTAATTCTGAAGTCGTACATCTTGGGGAGTTGCTTGACCAGTTCAAATGCGACGGGCAGCTGGCGCATGCGACCATGTAGTTTAATTAAGATACTTAGTGTGAAATTTGAAGGCTTTATGCGCTGCGCTTGCATTTCTTGCCACAGCTCCAGGCAGAGGGAAGATCGCTGCAGCCAGGCACGTCAAAACCATACACACAACCATTCACTCTTGCTCGCCGTTAAGACCCTTAGCGGAGCTAGATCCACTGCGTCAGCACTCAAACGTCAAGAACAGGAAGGCGGCAGGGTATGAAATTCTCCGTGTAAGACTACTCGCGCAGGAAGTAGAAAGAGGCCAGCTATAACGTACACCAGAGCGCACGCATCCATCTAGGAGCGAGTTATACAGGACACCATCTGGGTTTATGTTTTTCTGCTTCATTGCCTTGAGCAAGAGGAGGCCTTTGTCCATCTGCCCGTGGGCGCAGTATCCCTTTATGATGGTGCTAAATGTGATCAAGTCTGGCTGAACACCTAAAATGCACCATACAAACAAAAACATACGGTGCTGTCTTGGGCCTTGAAATGCAGGATTTCTAATTCATGTACAAATGAACTCCGATGCATGCATGCATACATCACGCCATCGTGAATATTACGCATGAAAGTATGTAGACCTGCACAGTAACTTGGTGCAGTAAAGCCGAGACTTCCGCACGTACAACACGTAGTACGCAGTAATGTCGCCACCTCCATTACTGCGTAGTGCTGCGGCCTCCTTAGTCTGTCCCAGTTCAAGGAGCCCCATGGCACTGATGAGAACGCCCGTAAACATTTGTTTGTACAGCGTTTGCTGAAGTGCGCATGCGACGCCAAGTCATATCTTCAAGCCGACGCTTACCCTTCTGCAGCATGTCATCCAGCAGTGAAGCCGCGCGGTCCATTGCCCCCACTCGAGCACAGACATCGAGGAGGGAGTTGTAGGTAACAGTGTTTATTTCGACCCCCTGTGCGGCCATCTCTTCAAATAGACTCAGGGCTTGATCTAGCTGAATATACAACAAGAGGGATAACAGTCTCCTGCGCGTAGCATGACCGCTTCACTCCATCTGCCTGCTTCCAAGCTAACCGTATGCTGGCTCGTCAGAAAAAGGTTGGGAATGCTAAGAGGTGGCGGTGAGGCCTTTAGGCGGTCAACCTGCCTGTTTTGTCTGTGCACATCCCTTTATGAGGGTGGAGTACATGACCGTGTTGGGCCGGACAGGCTGGTTGGAAGCTTTCATGTCTGCGAGCAGCTTCAAGGCCAAGTCCAGAGCCCCATTGGTTACAAGGGCATCGAAGATACAACCGTACGAAAC